GGATTTAAAAATGACAGGTCACAAGAATGAGGTAGAAAAAGATGTTACAGTGGATTTACAAATGAAACTGGCTGATTGTGTGTGAGAGAGAGAGAGAGAGAGAGAGAGAGAGAGAGAGAGAGAGAATATATGCACACCATTAGAACAATACTTGGAAACAGATGATTCCAACAGGACTTTTGTCTTTGCTCATCTGTGAATGTATGTCATGTGTCATGTATATAGCCAGCATGATGCAGCCATATAGGGATGGAAAGACCATACATGCTTACTTTATTTGAGTTTGATGCTGCCTGATTCCAACCAACTCTTCCTATATTCCCATCTATTATTCGTCATACTTTGATAAAAAGTTACCTTGTGATAGAAGCATAATAACTTGTATTTGCCAAGAGAATTGACTAATAACGTATACGGTATTCTCAGATCTTTATTCTCCTAATATATAGTTGTGCTAAAAACAAACAAGCAAACTAAAAAAAAAAAAACCAATTTATGTGTTACAGGGCTCTCTTTAAGACTGAAAATTCCTATCAGTAGGAAATACCTACATGGTGAGTACACCTAATATGTTTAATGTGTGTAGCAAGTTTAATTTTAATGCAATCTCTTTCATTTGTTTTAGGGTCGACCCTATTCCATACGACACCCCAAAACCAGCAGGCCACACACGGTTTGTCTGCATCTCAGATACACACTCCAGAACAGATGGAATCCAGATGCCTTATGGGGACATCTTGCTTCATACAGGCGATTTCACTGAGTTGGGGCTGCCCTCTGAGGTTAAGAAGTTTAATGATTGGTTAGGTAAGAAATCACTGCATTTTGATGACCCTAATTAACCTTTGCTTTCCAAGTGTCACTTACAGCCTCCTAATTGTGTTACAGCTTTGAAAAGCATTCACCTTGCAACCTTGTCATCTTGTTATATACCCTGTGCAACCAAAATATGATTCTGTTAATTAATGTGGATTTATATGTCTGATCTTGGATTTTCAGAAACATAAGCTTTGTCATTTGGCATCCCATGATGACAAAGGCTGAATAATTGCTTGACTTAAAGGATATCTGAGTTTTGGGCCATTGCAAAATAGGAATAGTAAAAATATAATAGCTTTTTCTATGGTATGCCGTAATAAGTGTGGTTTGAAAAGGGCTGTGTGCATCAGAATAACACTAGGACATGGATATACGTTTCAGATAAAGGGGTACAGACATTAATATCATGATGACTGAAGATTCTTCTTTATATAGTCTTCAAGGAGGAAAGTATGTGTCACTATTAGTGAGCCATTAATAAGTTGATATAAGGGTTATATAAGTATAATAAAAGACAGAAAGTCATAGTCATATGTATCACTGGGCTGCATAAAATTTGAGGGCTATTGTATAGAGTTAGAAAACTTGGGGAAGTTGTTTAGAAAAGGAAGAAAATGAAGAATAATAAGATTAACGTGGGAATATGACTCTACTCTAGGAAAACAAATTGGCATTCCAAAAATTCTGGTTGTATAAATGAAATTGCATATTTTATATCTTTTAAAGCATGGCTGTGACATTTCTTACATAGACATCTGTATCTATCCACAATGACAAATAATAATAATGATAATGATGATTATGATAATAATAATGATAATGATACTAAGTGTGTTGTGATGTTACGATGCAAACCCTGCCCTTTTGCACCCCAACATCAGATGCAGGTATGCAAATGGTGAGGTTTGTGTCATCATGTCACAATACATATTTCACCACTAACCCTCTCTGAGGGTGTCGGTGCACTCAGTTTTTGTACAGTGACATGCCTCTAAAGCCCTGTAATGACATTGTTCAGATTCTCTTGGAAATCCCTTAGGGAAATAAATTATTATTCATAAAAGAATGGTTAAAGCTTTTTCTTAGGGAAAAAAAGAAAAAGAAAATCTATTTGGATGAGTGGTTTGAACTTTTCAGAATCAAACCCAATTTATGTATTTAAAGCAATTTGATCCTGAATTGCCTCCGCAGTTAATCACAATAGGACATTGTTGCTCTTCGCAGCTGCAGATTGAAAAAGTAATTAATCTTCCTATCATCTCCAGGACGCTCCAATGCAAGAGTGAGCTTCTATGCTGCTGCTTCCCAGATTCATGGGATTTATTTCATCTGATTCATTCATAAACCATATCTCTGGCACACACCCCTGTTTACTAAAATATTTATAACTGATCTTTTGATCTCAAAAGTTTACAGTGTGGTTTTCTAAATCATTGAAAACCCACAACAAAAGTAAAACAGGAAAAAGTAGCAGACTGCCAGAAGAAAGCAGAGAGAGTGCCACATCACAAAAAGCACAAGACAAAGCAAAACAAAAGCATTAGAACTAGAGTTGATGAATCAGCTGCAGAAAATTGAGTAAGGATGGCTTCATGAAGCTGGTCCCTTCAAACGATAAGCATACTTGGAGGTCCCCACAATCTTTCTGAACAAGAATTATTTTAGTCCCATGTCTAAAAATAGCAGGAAATGGGCTAGGCAAATCTCCCCTGAAAAGGAATCCCACAACCTAATTTTTACTATATGCCAGATGACAAATCTGAAGTTTAAAGGACAGAGCCAGCATTCATATTAAGTTTGGGAACCCATTGGAAGCCAGTTTGATCTAGATTAACATCACAGGGTCTCTGGTTATTGTGATCAGAATACTGGCAACTGGATTCTTCTTTGGTAATCTAATCCAGCTCTCCAACCCATCTTTTCCAACTTGGTTCTCTCTAGGTATGTTGAATTTCAATTCTTATAATTCCCTTTTGCAGATGAGCTCATCTTTAAAATGCTGGTTGGAAAGACTGCTTTAATTTAATGTCAGACCTGCAATGCAAGATGCAACTTAAAGCTAGCTTTTCCTATTGGAAAAGAAGTTCCCATCACCTTCCAAGACAATCAGATCCACTGCAGACAGTTCATTCCATTTGAATTTGCTCCACGTTTTTAGTCAAAATTTGCTTTTGCTGGAATTTTCAATATTGATTCTAATTTTGTGCTCTGGAACAACCAAGAACAAGTTTGCTCAGTACAGGTTGTCCTGTATTCATTTAGCAACTGTTTGAAGTTATGACGGTGCTGAAAAAAGTGACTTACGACTGGTCCTTGCACTTACAACTGTCACAGCGTCCCCATGATCGCATGATCAAAATTCGAGCGCTTGGCAACCAGCATATATTTATGATGGTTGCAGCATCCCAGAGTCATGTGATCGCCATTTGTGACCTTCCCAGACAGCTTCCAACTAGTAAAATCCATGGGGAACTGTGTGATTCACTTAACCATGGTGATTTGCTTAATGACCGCTGCAAAAAATGTAAAGTTGGGTGGGGTCATGTGACGCCTCACTTAATCACTACACTGCTTAATGATGAATTTTCTGGTCCCTATTGTGATTGTAAGTTGAGGACTACCTGTATTTTTCATGACAGTTTTTGTCATTGTTTTAAGACTGTTAGCATTTTTCCCTTCATTTTCTCTTTTCTTTGCAGAATATGTCCTGATAGCATGAGATAGAACAAGAATTTTAAATTAATAGGTGTCCATCTGAAATGCCTGTTTAAGGGGCTGAGTTGATCAAATGGTTTAAGACCTCATGTTTACTGTAGTACACCCACCCCAATTTTTATTTTTCCTACTTCTGAATTCAGGTTTGTCTTTCTGCATTTTGCCTTGTGGTTTCTTTTATGCAGTAACTATCAGCTAACTTTTCGTGTGTGTGTGTGTGCATTTTTTCCTTGACTGATAAATTTTTATTATTGGTTTTTCATGAAAGTCATCTGGGCTTGTACACTGCCTGACCTTTGTGGTCACTTAGTGATTACACACGCCTGCTGGGGTAATTTATTCACTTTGTTTTGGTGTGAACATATCCCAGGGGTCTTGTAACTGCTGTAATCACTTGACCCTAGTGACTGTTAAATGCTTTAAACACAGTTATTTTAAATTTATAATTGTTTTCATTAAAAATCTCTTATAGTAACTTAACTGACCTTGCAATAAACACAGCATTACAGACTGAGCAAAGAACTAAAATTATGCGATGGGTAGCGTGCAATGCACATGTTTACTCACTGCATTCAGTTGTGTATAGAAGCAGCAAGCCTCTTAACTACAGCACTGCATTTGGGCGTAATTGTTGCAGATACTAGCTATATAAAACTGGATGAAACTACTTGCATTTTGAAAAAAAATCTGAAATGTAAGTATTATTTGTTAACGTAAATTACGAGCGACTTTGAAAGGTGAAAACGTTATGTAATTGTAAAAACCAGATGCTGTAGTCCTTCATTAACTCCAGAGAACTACAAAAATATTTTCTGTGCAGTTGCCTCCCTGTGGATACCTTTATGTAACCAAATACTAAAATCATTGTTATTGGGTAGATATCTCAATAAGAAAATGGTCATTTCTGCTGCCAGTGTTTATATCACAACTTCATTAGTTTTTCTGAATTGCAGGTTACTGTTCTGATTTTCTTTACTACCATGTTTTCTGAGGATTGGCCAAAGAAGTGTGATTCAAAAGTAATATCTTCTAAAACTTCACAGCTCATCTCTTAGATTATGCCCAACTCTGTTGACCCTCCATAAATACTCATGCTGAAAATAAACATTGGCATTGGCATTGCTTGTACAACTGGCCCAGTCCTGAATTTTTTAGATTGTTATAGTCACTGCATGGGATGTTACTTGAAAGTCATTTAGATTCAGACTTAAGTACTTTTGCAGTACAGCTGTTTTGTGTAACCTACAAAGAGAATGAATACGCAAGATGAAAGTACAGGTGTTCCTGTTAAGGTGGTAAAGTAAAGGTAAATGCTCCCTAAAGCCAAACGTGACTCCAGGTGTTTGCATAAAACCATCCATGTAATTTTCCCAGTAGTTCTACATGCATACTCAGACTTGCTCAAATTACAGAAAGTCTTGCAATTACATTTTCCATTGGGACAATTTTGCTAAAGAATCAAGCCACTTTTCATTTTTAATTTTAGCCTTAAATTTGAAATTTTGATCAGTATCCTTTATTATCTTTGCCATAATTTGGGCATAGTTGTATTATTATCATAAATAAATATAATTTCTAATAGGTGTGTGTGAAAACCTTCTGCAAGATTTAGCTCATTTACGATGATTTGTACAACTTGAGTAAATTAAGTATAATGCTGTTGGCAGATGTAACTCATGAGTTTTGGGGTGTGTGTGTGTGTGAGATATATTCATTTATTAGACTGATTCCTACCACCCCTTTGATTAAAATGTTCATCTTCCATGTTGACTTTAGTACAAATGTGTTGATGTAAACAAAGGACAAACCTGCTCTGAAATTACATTTTAATTGGGCACTTCAATGGGAATTAAAAATAAAAATAAAAACATATGGTTGAATCTTTTGACTAATCTAAAATAGATGATAGCACTTCTCTGGTTTCCATCTTCATTCTTTCCCTCTTCAATATAGCATGTTTATTTGGGTTTGAAACCAGATTCTGTAATCAGAATATACTTAATAGGATGTATTATTTGACTAAATGAAGGGAATGGAATCGATACATGTTTCATATTAAAAAAAGCTATTATAGATATTAGAAATTAATATTGTCTTTAGTACATACTTAATTCATTTAGTTTTATTTAATATTTTGACATGCATTTATTTTTTAGATATGAAATACAATATTTTGTTTTGTTCCAGTACAGGCGTATATACTTTCCTTAGGATCAAAGGTCTAACAAATGTTTGTTTGATGCATAACAATTACAGAAGCATTGTAGAACTGC